AATAAGTTAATTACAATCTAATAATGAAAAATTGTTTGAGATAAGAGATTAATACAATATTAATTCATTCAATTCCTAAATTTTTCTTCAAATTAGTTTTTAAATGTAAATCCTACATGAAATATTTGACTGTTTCTTCAGTGAAATATTCAAGCTCATTATATTCTATCCACGACTTCTATTTCTAATATATAGAAACTATAATTAGTAACTTTTAAGTGTAATATTTTATCTTATTTGTTGTAATAATAAATTATTCCTCTTTTATATGTTAATATTGAAGTTAAATTAGTTCATAAAATTTTAAAAAATCAGAAACAATCAAACAAGATAATAAAAATATACAGAAATATAAAGTAATAACAATGACCAAAGATTATAATCAATAAAGAATATTTAATTTGAATCAAGATTTCTTACTTAAACTCCAAATAGCCTTAATATGATAAATAAAACCAATAAGCTAACGATAATGTGAATAAATCTAATACAACTAAATTTATATAAATTCTTAAATGCCATATAATAACTAATAGAATAATCTCTATCTTTAACAATAAGGAAGAACAATAAAAATAGAGCAATAACAAATTATAAATTAATCATTAAACATTTGCAGGTGTTGTACATTAATGGATCTAAGCAAAAAAAAATTCTTCTTTAAAATAGAATAAAAAATCTGAAATAAAGTAATATTGAATAATCAATAATATAATGTTAATTAATTAAATTGAAGAATAGTCATATTAAAACAATGAAAAGTCTATTGATTTCTATTGGAGTAAGATAAAGTAAAAATTAGAATGAATATCCAATAAGAGAATTTAAAAAAATTAATCTGAACGTATTAATGAAATATATAAAAATAAGAAGATAAATTTTAAAGGTAGATTGATATAATTTGCATAGAAAATAATGAAATGAAATTTAATGCTGATGTAGAAACAAATATGGAAGAGTCAGTTCAAGTCAGTATATTTTTAACTATGACTATACAATAGAGAGAAGAGAAATGTTAATTTAAATTAATTAGAACTTCAATAATTAAATTAAATTAATTAACCAAGACAACGTTATTCAACTTTAAAATTTGGAGTATTTGAGAAAATGAATAGATGATCTATTTAGTAGCTGAAAAATCGATTATTTGTTTAATATATATTTATTTTAATTGTGTATTTTCTAGTTTATTATTTCAATATTTAGAATTAATCTACCCCAATAATTTATTTGATATAGCGCTTACTTTAATTTTTGGATCATCAGACATATTGGAATAAGTAATTATCTGAACAATATATAGTAAGGGTTACAATGATTGAAAAAAAAGACAATGGTTTATACTTTGAAAAGAATATCTTTTAAGAATGAAAAAAATTCACTAAAATATATAAGAATAATTCCATATTTATGTGTTCAATAATAATATAGAGATATAAATTATCGTCTTATAAGGAAAATATTAAAGTTTTTTAGTGAAAATAAATCAAAAGAATATTTAGAGAGATATCATAGTTTTGAAGACCAAAATTACAGCAGATTTGAATAGTTTTCTATAAATTATCAACAAAATGTTTTGAATAATTGATATTAAATATTCATTTTCTTCTTAAAATAATTTCCCAAAGAGGGCCATGTCTTTATTTAAACCAACTGCGATTAAGGTCATTAAATGGGGATTTAATACAGATAAGAAAGTTATGGCAGTGAGGTTTTTCAAATGAACTAAAATATAGACATTCCTTTCATTATTTAAATACAAAGGTCAAAATATCCTATCATTAATTTCTTTAAATAATGAAAAAAGTTTATCATCAAATGGAGATTTTTTACGCTCATTATAGAGAAATGGCTAATTTTTTTTTAACTCTTCTAACTTGGTAGCAGCAATCATTGTGCCCCATGTCTTTATGGTTTTTGTTTATTGAGGTTAGTGTTGCTTACGTTAAAAAGGACGAACAGGACTTATTCCTTCTTTTGAATCCTAACGTTTCTGATAATACTTAAGCCTCTTCATTTAATTATTCTATAAGTTTTTAATCTCCACTACGTAGTTCTTTTATTGTTTCCAATTCAAACTTCTTTTATAAGTCTCTTGACTCTACATTATCATCCTTTTAATTTGTCTTTATTTATCTTTGTTAAGTTGAAATATCGATTAAGCGAGCATAAGAACTCAATTTATGAGAAGATAACTGTATTTTTTAAATGTCAGTTTATGATTCGATATGAATTGATTTTAAAGTAGGAATGTGTTAGAGAATTCCAATAATGTTACAATAGATTCTATAAGTTGTTTTTTTTTAATTTTTAATATATAGGAAATCAAAAATATTGCATTAATTATATTCATGGAAATTAAAAAAAATTTAATTATAAAACTTAATCATCTTCCTAGGTATCTCTCTTATGAGGGTTCAGTTTTTTAAACTTTTTAGACCTTATTAACTTCTTCTTTTTCTAATGTTTCATAGATTTTACTAACTTAACAAAATTTTTCTAATAATTTGGCTGGATTGTTATAAATCTTGAATTTCTCAAACAACATAAAATTATTTTTGATGTTAATTAATGACAATAAATTTAACTTATTCTACTTTGATCAGATTCAGATGATATTGATTACACGATTATGTTTTAAATTAAGCAGAGTCTATTTTTCTTTATTAATCTAAATTTGTATACGAATTTTCATGTGAAAACACTTTCCTTAATTTTAATATATTGAAATATATATAAACTTTAAAACCATCGCATCCTTTCTTCATTCTCTACTTTCTTCTAATTTCAATTAATCCTTAAAGAAATCTAAATTCTTTATCTATTTAAAGAATAATAATGTGTTAAACATCTAAATTACTTAATTTACTATTTGAATTATTTTTGTATAATAATTAAAAAAAATACATTCATAGATTAGCAGAGATTTTAGATTTTCTATCCCTATATGTTAAGTATTTTTGATACACCAAATTTATAATCAAGATTAAGTTGGGTAAATAGCCTAATCTATACAGGGATGATGAATAAATAATGAATAAATTAGAAATGATTGCAAATTAATAAAGCAGATATTGAAGGAAGAGAAGAACAACTTGGAAATAATCTTATAGAGCCTCCAAAATTGTCTCGATTCTATATGTACATATATAAAAAAAGTAATTGTAAAATTTAATTTTTTATAGATGACAAACCTCTCTTTTTTTTTATTAAAGTATTATTTTTTTATATATCAAATAAGTAATTCTATTTCTATTCTATTAAAAATGTTGAAGATTTGCAATCTTAATAAATAAAATAATGCACAATGCAAATAAACAAAAGACTTCTGCATTCGCATTTTGGCATTTGCTGCATATGATGCATTCTTCTCTGAAAAGCCCTTTAAATAAATATTTTAAGCATTTTCAATATTGATTGCTATTTATGCTGTTATAATAATAGGAGCAATGACAGATAGAAAGAAAAATTATTTAAATAATTATATTTAGAATAAGAAGAATAATAGAAAAAAATATTTTAAGTAGTTCGAAATGGGAATGTGAGTTAGATGAATCATCTAGATTTATTAGTGGGAGTTATTATTGCAATAAAAGCAGGTGATAATATCAAAATAGTTGGAATAATTATTTGAAGGTACAGAAACAGTCCAAGAAGTGATAGTATGATTTTAGGTTTGATTGATACAATATCAAAATAACCTAGATCTAAAGAATCGATTTGTTTTATAAATGGAGGTAGTTACATTTTAGAAGGAACACTAAAGCAATAGTTTTGGTATATCAACTTATTCAAATAGAATGAATTATATTAATCAATAAAAAGAAAAAGGAGAAGAAGAATTGATACATGATGAAAGATCCGCGATTAGCAACAGCTTAGAAACCTTAGCTAAATTTTTAGTATTTATTGGTTGCACTAGTGCCTTAACCATATTCATAGTCTTAGAATTATATATGGATAGAGAATTAAATGAATTACAACAACAGATTTCTCATAATTTGTACTCGAAAAGTATTATCAGATTTTATAGATGAATTTGTTAATTATCGTATTATCTATTACTGAAGAATTAACTCTAATTTTCACTTTATCTTTGGCATTCTCTATTGCTAAATTAAGATAAAATGATTTTGTTATAAGAAATTTACAATTTAGCAATTTCATTTGGTGGTAAGGCTGAATTAGTAGAACGATTAGTATCTGACATCATTCTAAAGATGGGATCTTAAGGCGAAATTTTATGGATTCTTACTTCATTGGCAAAATGTAGATTACAGACTTTGAGTATTATAGTTAATGCTCCCTGTCTTATCAAAACATAATGAATCAACTCCAGAAGATATCATTTAATCTATTAAAGTAGTTAACACAACTGGAACATTATATTAAAGTTGAGATTATCCAAGAGTTAGTTATAGTCCTGATTTTAATTAAAATGTTTTGGAATCTTGGGGTACTAACTAGTATCATTGCTCAAGCAGTTATCGAAATTAAAGTATAATCTAAAGTAATTTATTAATGTTAAATTAAGTTTGTAAATATGAATCATTATTTTTCATAATTTTGCTTTAAGTACTGAATTTATGTATAAATTATCAAAAAGCAAAGTTCGCCTAGCTCAATAATATTAGTTGATAATAATAAATTTTAATTTGGAATGACATGGTAAATAATTTTAAATTAATTATTTAGTTGTAGGATATAATATATTTGAAAATTAGAATTTGATATAAAATATTTTATGAGAATAGAATTATTTACAATTAACAGTTAAATGAATTTAAATTCAATTAATTTTAATAGATATCTTTAAGTGAATGAACAAGTCTGATACATAATTAAAATAAATAAATATCATAAAATTCTGTACTATTCAAAATTAAGAAAATATTGATCCAAACATTGTTAGAGATTCTATTTTTTAATAAAAATAAATTGCAAGAT